CAGCGACAGCAATGGCGGAAGAGGCACGGCTCGACAACGGTGACAATGGCGGAAGAGGCACGACGCGACAGCGGAAACAAACCGTGGTTGGAGGCAACGATGAAGGAAAGATGAAGAAGAAGAAGCCAATGTTGCGGTGGAAGAAGAAGAACGGTGGTTGTTGTGCGCGTGAATAGTAGTTAAGTGCGAGGAAGAAGAAACACAAATGAACAGTAGGTTAAGTGGCTGGACTTAACAAGAGATACCAGCTCGATTATCCAAAAACCCGAGGCAATACACTCATATGTCATCGGTTATTACTGAAACCGATGCGTAAAGTGCCAGAAGAAAAATAAAAAACAAAAAGGAAATGACATTTTTTAAAATACCTTAAACTTATATGCCTCGTTTATATCGAAAACCAAAGCCTAATAGCATTTGTACAGCGGATCTTAAACTGAAGCAGTAGCTCTTGGACAACACAACACTTACTACTTCGGTCCTTTGGGGAACCGATGTTGTATGGCTGACGTGGCAGAGGGATGTTCAGGGTGTTGCAGGTGTGGCAGAGGGCTTCTACCTCAGTTTTAGGTGCAACCGAGGGAGTATCTCCATTTCATAAAGTTGTCCAGCCGAAAAGCGAGGCGGACAGTTGGAGTTTTATGCTTCGGTTTGCTATGAAACCGAGGTTATAACAATTTTATGCTTCGATTCTTGTCGAACCAAAGCGTATAAGTTCGTTGTAATTACAAAACTGTTACCGCATTTTTGATAGGCATCGATTTTGTCTAAACTAATGTCTATTATCCGAGTTTAAATGCAAATTTTGTAGTAGTGATAGTTTCAAAAACTATAAAAATTCATAACTAAATATTAACTTAGTTACACCTTTTAACCATCTTTGATTCCCATGATCTTAACTGTTAACTGGACCATGTTAATCATTATATAAAACAGTTTAATTTTTCATAAATCTTATGTATTTAATCTCTTTTGTTTCTCATTTTCCATTTTCCATAATCAAAGCACAGGTTATTCAATTTTCCCTCGCTCACTATACTTCATCATCGTTTTCTATCTCTTCACCTTCAACTTTTGCAACAATGGCTACATCTACTGCTGGTTCGTTTTCTTCTTCTCAACATATTAGTTTTTCATTTTATGTTTTTCTTCTCCTAACTCTTGAAATTACTAAAACTGTGATTGTTTTGTGCACCATTGAAGAACCCTCATTGCAGGGAGATCATCCGGAAGTGATAGAGGAGTATTTGAAAAATGGCCATGCCAAATGCATTGCCTTCAATCCTTGTGGTAAACTTCTTGCTGGTAAATTTCTTACTTACCCTTTTGTCTTTTTGGTTTCTTTCAGGTTAGAGTTCTTTCTTTCCAATTCTTGAACATTGAAATCTGCTTCTAGAAGCAAAAGAAAAGTGATTCTTGAAGGATGTTTTAACACATGGTATTTTTTCTTGGGTTGTTTAATATTTTTACTTTCGATCTTCTGTTACTTTTATATTCTCTAGCAACCAATATCACGTGTGTAGAATAGTGTCTGCTTCACTTTTTCAAGATATTTTTACCAGGAATTCTGTTGTGAGAGTGTTATATATGAAGACTGTAAAAGTGAGCAAATTTTGTTTCTTGGGTGTGAGTATATAAATCTTGATTCTCCATTTTAATTTTTGTAATTATGTTATGTGAAAGTGGAGCATGATTTAGTTTTAAATTTGTACAAGTATGAGTAGATAAGCTATTTACTGATACTGAGTATCTCTTTGTGATTTATGCAGTAGTTCTTTGTGTTGATGCATAGAGTTACTTACATTGCATAGCATGTGCCCACTATTTGCTTGAATAATGTGCTATATGAACGTAATAGCAAATGTAAAAGTAAAACTTCTGTAAATCATTGATTGGAGGTATTGTATACATTATAAACTCTCTCATTCTTGCTTTGATCAATTGATTCAGCTGGGTGCATGGACGGAAGGTGCGTTATCTGGGATTTTGAAAGCAGGGGCATTGCTAAAGAGCTTAAAGATGAAGAATGTTCATCTCCAATAAACAGTGTCTGCTGGTCGAGGTGTGGTAATCGAATTCTTTTGTCTTCTGCTGACAAGTCATTGTTACTGTGGGATGTGAAGAGTGGTGATAGGATAAAAAGAATAGTTTTAGAACACAGCCCTCTACAAGCTCGTCTTCATCCACGTTACCCTAATCCAGCTCTTTGCTTGGCATGCCCTCTCTCACGTCCTCCAATGATTGTTGACTTGAACACAGAAAACACAACTTTGCTTAAAGTTTCTCTCTTGGAGAGAACAGAAGAACCAACCCCTCCCTCACATAACAGGCGTGTTGAAGGAACTACTTTATTATCACCAACTCCTACGTGTTTTAACAAGTACGGAAACCTTGTTTATGTGGGAAACTCAAAGGGGGAAATTCTTGTAATCAACCATGTAAACAATGAGGTTCGTGCCATGATTCCTATCTCTAGTGGTTGGGAAGTGAGGAACATTGTGTTCAGCAGAAATGGACAGCACCTTTTAGCAAATTCAAATGATCGAGTAATCCGGATATATGAAAACCTTCTACCTCTGAAAGATGAAGTTAGAGCACTTGATGATCTGAAAGAAAAACACAAAGGCCTAAAAGCTGTTGAGAAGTTGAAGGCCGTAGGATCAAAGTGTTTGACTTTGATCCGGGAGCTTCAAGATTCAACCATGACTGTTCACTGGAGATCACCCTGCTTCATTGGCAATGGACAGTGGGTTGCTGGTGGTTCTGCTAGGAGAGGAGGGCACCAGATTTTCATATGGAGTGTAGTTGGAGAAGCGAAAATCCTTGAAGGGCCTAACCAAAAAATTGTTGATTTAGCATGGCATCCTGTGCGCCCTGTTCTTGTATCTGTTTCTTCAACTGGCACTGTTTATATCTGGGCCAAAGCTTACACAGAGGAATGGAGTGCATGTTTTCCTGATTTCATAGAGATTGAGGAAAACCAGGAGTGTGTAAGATGAATTTGATATGAATTCTCCTGAGTCTGAGAATGTAAGGTAGTGTGAGATGATCATGCTGATCTTCTTTTCTTTCCTTATCAACTTTTGGTTAGTTCTAAGTCTCTTAGAGAGATAGAAATAGAAGTGTACATGTGATAGATGACATGATATGACAAAAAGGAGATAGAGAAAAATAGAAAGTTTCAATGGGTGTATATACTCTGTACATGTATCGTATTTCTTGTCTTTGCATCATGACATTTTGCATTTTTGCATTAATTTTACAAATTGGAATTGGCCTAGGAAGAATTATTCATATTTATATATTATAATTGAATTTATTTTTAGTCAAGGTTGAAAAGAAAATTTTGTAAGAAAAAACGTAGTAAGACATGTTAACTTGCGTGTCTAGCAATGTGTATAATAAGAGAAGAAAATAGAAAAAGAAAATTATACAAGTTTTTTATAAGTTAATTGCTTTATCAATATGCGTTCATTTAAATTTAAATAAAAAAAAAATCACCTATTGATGTGTACATTGATTTTAATTTTTAGAAAAGTTGGTTAATTTTTTTTTCTTTTTCTATGAAATGAAAAGGAATGGAAACTAATTGAAATCTTAAATATAATTTAGGGATTTATTTGAATTTTCTTAGATTTAAAGACTATAGTTTTGTAATAAGATATGAATTTAGGTTTTAAATTGATTATTTAATCGATTTCACAAGATAGTATACACTCTTGATGCCTTGTTGAAAAAGACTTGGTGATAGCGTTATTTTTTATTACGTATGCATCAGTTAATTGACCTCATTTTAGATTGATATGCCTAATAGATGAAACAACGTTAATTTAGGATCTTTTCCTTCTTTATTGCAAATTCTAGAATTCAAGAAATCATATCAAATAGCGAAACTAACTTAAAATGACTTTTAGACTATGAAGTAATCAAATAACTTCAATGATGATTTTAAGATTAAAATATTGGCTTGGAACTATTGAGTTGAATCCATGTTATTGTTATTTGTATCATTAATCGAGAGGACACACTTTTTGTTTTTATTTTTTTAATAACTGTTATTTTAAAACTTAAATAACTATTCATAAAAAAATTACCTATGCATATCTATAATAAAATTATAAAAATTATTTAATTTTATAATTATGTATTGTATTCAAATTAATTTAATAATATTTTTTATTTTAATAATTATTATATTATAATAATAAATGTTTTTTGTTATAAAAAATAAAAAATAACATCCATACATATAATATTATGTTTTTATTATTTTTTATATTAAAGTTTAAGTTTAATATATTTGTGTAAAATTTGTTATTCATGGTTCATTTAACAATGGTTTTGGAAATGAAAAAAACACAGTAGCAATTTATAAATAAATGCAACTTTTTTAAAATGCTTAAATAATGCAACTTTTTTACAATGTTACTTGAAACTATCGTTGAAAGTCAATTGTTTTTTCAGAAATGACAACGGTTATATGTAAGATTATCATTAAAAATAAAAAATGTTAACAAATGATGACTGTCAAAAATTGAAATCTTTTAAAAATGACTTCATTTTTTCATAGAAGTTTGGAGTTAGACCTCGTAGGATAACACTTGTGTTTTGTTTTTGGAAGACAAAAACTTTACTATGGCAGCTTCTTTGGATATATCACATTACTATGGCAGCTTCTTCTGAAATAATATTTTATATACTGTCTGTCGTGTACTACTCACAATCAACTATGAAATGTCCCTATTTAATAGTTTTATTCTATTAAATAGATGTTAGATTGCAAACATTGTTAAAAGTCAAATAAAATAAGATAAATTTTGTATTTATTTATGTATTATAATTTATTTAAATTTTAGTTAAAATAACTCTTCAACTATTATAAAACTTGTCATGTTTGTTTTACTAGCTAGTTGTTTGTGTTAGTGAAAAAGGAAAAACATATAATATAAAATGACTTTAAATATATGTGTATATGCCAAAATTATATGTGAAAGATGGATTTATTTAGCTAAAGAACGAAGCTTGTACGAGGCATAAACCCCCAGTGCCAAAACCAGAACCGTTACACTAGTATACAGTAGCACATGCTTATCTTCTTCATTGAACCCTTTTATCATACTTGTCACAGCTTGTGAAGCAGTAGCAGCCACCTCCTTTATCCCAATCCTTTCTGATGATCCAATATCACCAATTTTACTATTCATTTCCACTTTTTCTTTGCCCTTTCTCTCACCAATTTTACATTCAATATCACCAAGTTTACCACTCCTTGTGATGGAACTTGTCTCATCCATGACACCTTCATTTTTTCCTTTCTGGGGTGGTTTTCCTGATACAGAATCATTTTCACTTTCATCCTTTGTTTCTTTCCTTTCAACCCTTTTCTTTTCACTGCTTTCAAAACTCACTTCTCTTTGATTCTTGGCATCTTGTGAAACTCCTTCACCCTTTTGAGGAACAGAATCACTTTTTGGTGAAGTTAAAGCCTCGTTAGCTTGTATTTGACTCTCAACTATTGATTTTGGCTCCTCACAGGTTGTCATTATTTGACCTTGCATTTTCCTTGGTATGGTTACCTTTGGCATTATAATGCTAAACATTTCTCCTTGGAACACACCCTTTAGCTTGTTCACGTCACAATTCATAGGAACTGCATATGCAATGTTGAAGCGGATTGATCTATTATCTCCAAGTGATCGTCTACCAAAAACCCTAACTCTTCTATAATCATACTCAAATTCAGCACCTATATCATCCTCTGCATAACCTACATGAAAGCCAATAAATTCATGAGCACGTCAAGGGGAACAAAATAACAGTTACAATATATGATCTCTTATTACATGAACAAATTTTCCTGTAGAGATTTTTTTCTAAAAACTTAATAAAATCCGTGAGTTTTGATATAATTTATTGCACAAAGGTATCTGCTCCACAATATTACAATGATAGCTTTTTTTACTATTTGATCCATAAATACTTCTAAGATAAAAAAAAAGTGATGAGAAAATGAAGCAACTCTAATTTATATGAAAAAAAAAACGTTTTAAAAATTAATTTATAAATAAAATAAATATAATTTGCAAAAAGAGTTAATTTTAGCTATTTTTCTTATTTCTCTCTCTTAAAATGTTGATAAACAAGTTCGTTAGGGTTACATAGCATATGAAAAATGATAGTTGATACATGTTTTTTTTTAAAGGTAATTTAGAGAAAAAAAGAAAAAGAAAAACATGGTTTTTGTGTATGATTTAAATTAGCCATACAAACCAGGAAGATGAACAAGCAGGGAATGTGATTCAGCGGTCTCCTCTGTTTCTAATTTTGGCTGCCCAATTCTCATTGTTAGGTTTGATTGCAATTCCATCAATTGCTTTTTTGTTTGTTTTTGGGATTGAGCTTATTGATTGTAGGGTTATATGTATAACTGACTATTCAAGATTTGATGAGAATGGATTGCTGAAGAAACAATTGATTCCTTTTTGACTGCTGAATATTATGGCATGATGAGTTAACTTTGAATTTCCCTCTAGCTCTTGGTATAACTTCTGGGATAAATAAAGTTCAAATTCGTTGTTTGGGTGATACACTTTAAAAGTCTATAGCAATATGGTGATATTTCATGGAAACGAAATAAAAAGGAAAAGGATATAAAATATATGTAAGACTTGAGAAACACAAGTTTAAAGCATCTTGTTGGAATTTTGTGAGTCAAACAACATTTTGGTTGATGGAGTCAAATAAGTTAAATAAAAATATATCCATATCCTATTTTTTAGGAGAATTTTATACATTATTTAATTAATTAGATTTAGTAGGTATTTCTCAAAGTTGGTTACAAATCTTGTAGTTTAAATATTTAGTGCTTATGCTCAATAAAAGATATTAGTTTCCCTTCATTCTTTTGCCTCTTAAACTTTAAAACGCAACAATTGGTATCAAGAGCAAAAAGGATCTTACGGGATCTGTGATATAACCCACAAACACCTACAACCACAAAATAGTCACCACACATAATATGGAATCTCAAACATCCTTTACTACTGTTTTTGTACCTGTATTTCATGGACAAAATTATCAAATGTGGGTTGTCAAAATCACTACAAGAAAAAATTGAATTACATACAACCAAAATCCGTATATAAG